GTTTCCATTTTGTGTGTGAGAGTAAATATATGCAAGTATGCAAAGACTGTGCAAAGGGACGAGTGAGAAAGTCCTAATCTCCACTGCCTTAGTTGTGCAGCTCAGCAGCACTGTTACAGAACTGATAACACAGGCCCCTTGGAATACGATTTCTGTATCTAGTTTTGTAAAGTGGGCTGATTTTTGGGCAGGAAGTACCTGAGGTCAATGCAGGAAATCAATAAATGATATACAGACTTCTGACATGGATATTCAAATATAGTCTTTGACCTTTTATATAAATCTTCATTACAATTTTTTTCTATATTTGAAAAGTAACCCCGATTCTAAAAGCCAGAAATAGGTTAATCTTTCCTTGAAACGCTGGCTTTTTATCAGAAGACACAGCTCATGGCTGACATATTTGAAAAGCAATTTATATGTTCTCTCAAATGCAAAGACTTAAAGCACTTATGAATTACTTTTAGTGTCTAGAAGCTGAGCATAAAATGGTAAACTTATGATAATATAAAGAGATGGAACTAATTCACAATTAACTGAAATCTTTGAAAATCTTGTGACTGAATTAAATCTACTCTAAAGTTCATTTAAGCATGAGATGTGCCCAGCTTCTCTGTTGACGCCTTCCTGAAATATTCCTTTATCATTAAATAACTCGGGACCGTTCACACAACCTTAGTAATTGATGACTTAAACTGAAAGGAGTATAAAAATTTTAGTACGCCAAGCTTCCTTCCTACCTTCTCCCACGGGTTACGAAAAACATCCATCTATCAGCTAGGCATGCCAAGTTGAATGGTGTCTACAAGCCTGGAAGTTTTTCTCCCTTGCTGATACACTTAATACGCACTCTGCCCTGATAAAGGTTCAAGAGAAGTTCTTTTCATTGTGATTACACTGAGGAAGGACGGGGAAAATGTGATGCACCTTTTGGCTGTAATTCTAATATGGTGGCCTGTAATTTATACCAACATACCATTTTTATCATAAAAGTATGAATATCAAGATTCTGCCATTATGAGAAAGGCAGAAAGAGCAGCTTAACAGTTCTGTCTAGCATATTGTTTTGAAGAGATCACTGGAATGTTATTACAAAACATGCTGTCTGTAATACAGAAAGGTTTCCATCATTAGAGAAGAAATGCCTTTGATGACATTAAGTGAAACGGACATCCTCCTGACTTTCCAGGCTGGCAAAAATACATCTTCAACAGCAAATTACGGGCAGTAGCAACATCAGATGGTAGTTCCAAGCACATCTTGCCCTTCAAGTGACAGCCTTGTTTGAAGCTTGTGGGACACAAGTGTATATGTCAGATTTTTCCCATTTGTTCATGGCAAGGGTAAGTGAAATTAGACCAACCTGGACAAAGTACCTTTTCACGTGGAAACTGTGTCACTGTTAAGATGTTAGAATGGCAGGCATACAAAGGAGCTCAGCTCTTATACTGCTTTTCATAAAATAACCAATGATCCTTCAACTCACAGGTGAAGAGCTCCTAGCCTGTGCTTGAGAATGTAGGGAAATTAAATTTCTCTTCCTCTTCCTGCTACTGTAGCTCTTTAAAAGTTGTAGTGACTTTTTCTGCAGCGAGGAATGTAGTCTTTTTCTAGTGGAATGCAAAGCGGAGTGCTTACGGTCAGCACCACAGTGTTGTGTTATGTCAACAGCCAGAAGGAGCTGGATTGTTTCTGTTGTGCCAAGAAGCCTTTATCTGTGTATACAGGATGTTCAGCCATTGTCATGTACCTTGCTTTTTTTCTTCTAGGCGTTCAAATATGTTGGCTCTTTAACTTTGTGGAGATCTCTGTCACAGGGAATCCTATGAGCTCTCAAAACTTTAAATTGTCCAGTCAGATAAGAAAGGCTCACTGATGAGGCTTTTTTGCAACGCGCTACCAGAGCGTGGCTCCAAAATACTGCTGTAGAGGATTTAAAATTTGAAATACATCAATTCCCTGGGCAGAGGCCTAGGGAAATAACGGAGCTGTGTTGACTTACTAAAGCTCCCAGCTGGTGCTAGCCCCAGGTTAGAAAACTGAATTCTGACTAACCCAGACTGCCCTTGTAATCTAGCAGCCAAAGAGAATTAGCAAGTATTTGCTTGGTTAATTTTAACTGTCTCATGAATATGATGATCACACAATTTACTGTATCCCCAAGTGGCTGCCAGCTCCAACTGCCACAGCTGTAACCTTTTACGTGACCTAAAAGACTTGACATGGGTTCACAGAAGAAAGAAGCATCCCAAGCTGTTGTCCAAATTTTAACTAAATACTCCGGCCTCAACGCACATCTGACTTTGATTTTATGCTAAAGGTATTTCAGATGTTTTGCTGGTTTAAGATTATAAAAGTCTGAAATGGACAAACTTTTGTTTTCTAGAATTCAAATCTTAGGGCCTGTTCAGAAGATAAATTCTAAATGCTTAAACACATTGCAAGAAATGGTCTTTTGAAGTATGCATAAACATAAACGTGTTTTTGTTATTTGGGTTCGGTAATACTTGAATGATCTGTACTGCACCTTCTGTGAGTTTGTCTCACAAGACATTTATAATAAAATAAATGATAAGGATTGGCCTGAACTACAAAAGGTCATCAGTTGGTTTTAGAGGTGGAGTATCGTGGTGGTCTTTTCCAAGTGTCTAGTTGTCTGATTGGGGCATTTTATAAGACTGAAAAAACGGCTAAACAAAAGAAATTCTGATTTGAATAATACAGAGTTTTTGCTCCTATTAGCAAGTATATTCAGAAGGGACAGTATAGAATGAAGAAGATAAAACAAGTGCATGGATGAAAAATAAAATGAAGCTAAAAGTGACAGTGATTGCAAGAGAATTATTTTCTTAATCTGTTAGTTAATTAAAGACAATTAAAGGTAATTTTTAGAAAGTCTAAAACTAAAATGCTTAAGTGTTTTTTTTTTTTTCTTAATATCTTTTGGAGACTGTTTTAAAGTATTACATCTGCTAGAGAGAAAGCCAATGTTTTTACTCGAGAAGTACTTCACCTTTTATTGGGACTGCTATCTTTAACCTACTCCAACTCTAGGTATGCACGTTGTTCCAGTTTGCTAAAGAGAGTGATGATGATTAAGCAATTTTGTTTGCTTGGGGAGCTCAGGCTTTCTAGACTTGTTCTGGGCAATAACTAACTATGCTAATGCAAACTTCTGTTGGCCCCTGAAAACAGACATAGCTCTACAGAATTTAATGTTTTTAACTCCATAGCATTTAATGTTCTTTGCAAACTCACACAGGACTAGAGATAGTAGGCTAAAAGCTAACGTGGCAGATAATAATCTGAAAGAGGAAAACAGTTTTTCAGTGTCTTGTTAAATTTTTCTTATAAATAATTGTGTAGTATTTATCTAAGAAGGCATGCTAAATAATATTCACTCAATACTTGCTGCAAAACTTCTTGTGCCTCACTGCTATTTTAACAGCAGATAGACTGTGTAAAGTTATCCCAAAGGTTGTCATAATCTGAATATGGTATACCGTGGTGCAGGCAGTGAGTTTGTGTCACGAGTCCAGCAGTCCCTGCTTAAACACCAGCTGCCTCTAATTGCTGCACGCTCTGAAAAGAGGTGGTAGCCTGTAAGACACGCAAGGGCGAAATTATAAAGGTCAAAGCCAATAGATTCACATTCAGTGAGAAAAATACGTTGTACTGATTATGGAGCAAAAGAGTAATGCATGTTCCATACAAAATCCTCCTAAATGGGTTGCTGAAGTTTTGCTTAGTGTAGCGTGTGCTACGTTAATTCACTTTTGAGGTGGCAAAAGCATGGATTGCTTGGTTCAAATCTTTAGTCAAACGTAACAACATTAAGTAAAACTGAAGAAAGCTTTCTTTTGTCAGCTGCGTTCAGAAGAGCACCTGGATGCTACATACGCTCAGTTTTACTGGCTAAATTAAAGTCTTACAATTCTGACTTGCTTGGAGGATTTTTTATTGGATAATTTATTTCTTTTGAACTGCTTTATTTAAATATAAATAACAACAGCAGGTCTTTGACTCATAATAAAACACAATAAATATCATTCTTTTTGGCAAATGCTTCTTTTTAGGTAAGCATTTTTTTCCATACGGAGTTAAGTAGATGAATATGGAAACATTCTCCTTTTTGTAAATTTAAGCTAATAGCTATTTTAAAGTTTACTTCATACTGTACAAAGTTTGTCTTATCTCTTGGTGTACTCATCGAACGTTACCATTTGATTTAGAACGTATGACAATGTCTTACTATAACAGCATGTTTGTAACTTGGTACGGTCATAGGTCTCTCAATCGCTGCTCTCTCACTAGATGATAACCTTTGTTTGGAATTGCCTTGTTTCCAGCAGAAAGGGGAGCGTTTGAAAAATTTTTTGAATGTTCTTAGGTGGAAAGATTTCAGAAATTTAAAACAGCAAGTGAACACCTATGTTGTTAAAACCACCTTGTTCTATGTGACTGATATATAATTTCATGCTAATAATATGTACTCAAGGAAGTTTGGCCTAGAAATAAAATGTACTTAGAAAATACAGATGGCTAAATAAGAATAGCTAATATTTCTTTTTGTTGTGGGTCAACAATCTATTCGTCTGTCTGTCTACCTGTCCGCATTTTGGATGTCAGTGCCTCAACTGTAAGATGATAATCATTGACACCAGCACAAAAATAGCTCAGATATAGTTGTTAGATAATAAGAAATCCTTACTTACCAGCCTATATTCTCACTGCTTAAAATCATTAATCAAATAAATACATTCACTCCCAGAAAGCGTTCTCTTCTCCCATTACGAAATCAATACTGTATGCACTAATTAAATAAAAATAAGTGAGGACATGATATACTGGGTGAATTTATTTTATGAAAACAAAGAGCCTTAACAGTTATTAGTAATTTTTTAGATTTCATTCACTTTTGGGGTTTATCATCCTTATTGGAAAAAACGCTTTAAAAATTAATCTGTTCTTTTTCTTTTCGTGCCTTTGTCCTTTCCAAGGTTATGCCTTCTTGCTGTTCCAGGAAGAAAGCTCTGTACAAGCCCTGATAGATGCCTGTCTGGAAGAAGATGGGAAACTTTACCTGTGTGTGTCAAGTCCCACAATTAAGGACAAACCAGTAAGTAGCTTATGCCATGACACTTATGCTGGCTGCTAACCCACTTGCTGTTACTCTTTTCAGTTAATAAAAAAATAAAAAAATTACTTGTAGTTAATTGGCTCATCCATTTCCTGTTGCTGTCCTTTCTGTTCCGTTGTATTGACTTTTTGTATCAACATAACATGGTTTTAACATTTGCTTCTTTCTGATAAATGCCACACTCAATTAACTTTTATATTTGGTATTTCTGGTACTCTCATAAGAGTATGCCTCCTTTTACAATGTTAGCTGTAAAAAAGAATCAGATTAAGGTTTTGCCCTCTATATTATTTAGGAGAAACGAAAACCTGACGCAACAAATGTGCAAAATAAAACACAATAAACACACAAAATGAAGAAATTTAAACAAAAAACAATTCAGATGATGGCTTCAGATATCCCTGGTACTTCATTGTACTTTATTAGCTTCCCCCCCACCCCCTCAATGTGATAGCTAAGCAATTATAATTTAGGTAGGTTGAATATAGCTTACATAAATTATAGGGTAAAAACATGTACGGAGACACTACTGCAGAACAGAAAATATATGGTAACCTGCATTTCTAGCATTCCTTACTACTCACTTTTTGGGGCTATGGATACATACAGATGAGATTAAAAACTACGGAAAAATATAGATTAGATTTAAAAAAAAAAAAAAAGCCTGGTTGGTCAAGTAGCAACTTCCTAAGAATAATCTGTAGGGAGTAAGATGAGTAATATCAGTATGTTAAAACTATACTTGCAAAAGAATAGGCAATATTCTCATTACTCAAATAGGTATCAGGAAATAACTATACACATTTACCAGCTTCCTCACCATCTACAGGCCATATGCACAAATATTTATCAGGATTTCCTATTTAAACATTTAATGGAAAAAAAAAAAAAACCTGAAGTGTTGTTCCCAGTCCTGCAAACACTTAAGTTTAGCAGGATCTATTTCCTTGAGTCACATGCATGCTTATATTTTTAAGGTCTCAGTCATTTATCTAATTGTAATGATTATACCCTACTTTATATATGATCCTTTCAAAAAAAAACCATTGATCTGTGCTGCCTTTTTAAAACACACTATTAAAGAGCTTGCATAGATAAATGAACACCCAATATTACAGTGCTATGAGTGTGCTTATGTGCTTTCTGGGATCAGTATACGGAAAGGTGAACAGCTTTATCTAAAAGTCCTGTCCGCAGCTTTTGCTCTGTACAGTCTGAAGATTTCTTCTCACCTGTGTTGCTTGCTGCTAAACAGAAGTAAGCAATCGCACTTTTTAAAAACTCCTTTTGTATTCAAGCACAGAAATTAATTTTATCTCCTCTCCCCATTCGTATCAGTGCTTTAAAATTTGTGGATCACTGTATGTGATTACAGGAAAGCCAGAAGCCAAACTGCACCTGTAATAGCACACAGCTGGTAAAATGTTCTGCAAGTCCTTTCTCAGATTTCTGATTATAATGGCTGTTAGAGGCAGGGAATTAATAAGGTCAGAGAGTTTGCCATGATGAAATTTAACTCAAGCCTGGCCTCTAGAGGCTATAAATGAACTGTCCACCTCCTTTCAAACGCTCAGACAACCTATGTTCTTGAATTGTTTTGGTGGTTATACCACCAATTTACTGCTTTTGCTTTTAACATAATTTCAATTATAGAAAGATTAAGCAGTTATTTTATTACTTCTTATTGAATTGTCGAGTTCCCCTACTAAAAACAATTTTTATTGCTCTTTTCAGGTGCAAATTCGACCATGGAACCTAAGTGACAGTGACTTTGTGATGGATGGCTCTCAGCCTTTGGACCCAAGAAAAACTATTTTTGTTGGTGGAGTTCCACGGCCCCTCCGAGCTGGTGAGTAGAAGAAAAATGTAGGGCATGCAATGCTTGAGATTAAGCAGAAATGATGACAAAGGATATAAAGTATGTGTAAAAGACAGAAAATATACCCTGCTTTTCCAAAGATCTTATCTCACTTTCTTCTAGGAAGCCAGCTTCCTCTGTCTACAAAATACAAAATCTGTAATAAACTTCTGATCTTTTAAATAGTTACTAATTAGTATAGCACTAGAAAACAGTCTTCCCGAAGACTCAAGCTTGAATAACATCCTACAACTTGTCTGTTTTTTTTCTTAATAAATACTATTTTAACCCTAACCTTGCTTTTCTGCCTGAGCCATAACTGAATTCCCCTACCCTTCGTCCAGAAGACAGACTTCTCTGAGGCCCTTTGCAGCTACCTCCAACTGCAGCTCCTCGCTTGCTCTTTCTCCTAACCCTAATTTAAATCCGAATTCTCTTGGAGAGCTGTAGACAAGAAGGTACCCCAGCCATTGCTCAGAGCAAGATCTCTCCCAGCCCAGGTTTCTCGACAGCCCCAGTTTCTTCCCACCTTAAATAAGGCACAATTGTAAGAGAGGGCAATTAAATAAATAGTAACAATTAAACATTACCTCATTTCTAACTACAGCATTTTGTAAAAATGTGTGTCATTTGGCCTCTCTTAGATTGTTTATGCATTATATTTGAAAACTGATGCCTTTAAATAGTGAACTTTTTCAAGGTAGGCAAAGAGAGTTTCCAATTTTTCTTGTTTGCAGCTTTCAAAATCTGATACAGGAGTTTGGTCTAAGAACTTGAACACTGCAGTTTCACACCTGCAAACCATATATGTTCTTTGTTGACTAGCGAGAGTATCTTACTGCAACTACTGTTTTAAATGTTCTTGATGTTTAGTCCATACTGTCGCTTTCTGGGATCACCACCTAAACTATGATTACAAATCATTAGAAAGTAAGAGAATCTACTAGTCACTACACTGTGTGATCGTTTTCCTTTACGACCTGTTAGGAGCAGGAGTTGTATCTAGCTTGGTAGAATGAGTCAGACTTTTGTTTGCTCATTGCAAATGGACAAATTAGCATATAGTCTTCCCTTAATGTGATACATGTATTTTATTTAAACACACATGCATACTTAAATAATTGTGTCTGTTTTATGAATAATGAACTAATTCAGTGATAATTACAAAGATTTTAAAATTTAGTATACTTTCTTTTTCACTGTATCTTGGATAGCTAAATTTAGACTCACTCTACTGAAAGTGTTTTGCTGCACTAACAGAACAAAAATGCTTGACTATGCAGGGCCTGTATAGGTCCCCGTATCTTGTTTTGTGAGGGTTTGTCTTTCACCTAACAAATTTGTCTATCAACTTCTACAGAGAACTTAATATTTGAACGGTCAGTGACCCTAACTCTGTGCACCACTTACTTACATGCAGTGTGTGGGTTTGTGCATGTGTAATTCTATATATATAAAACATACAAAATATGTTATATATAAATATAAATATATATATGTATATAAAGTGCGTGTGTAAACTGTTCCACTTCCTTCAGTTCTTTCTCTTAATTGTCCTGCATGCTTCCTCAGCCACTTAAATCAACCTGTCTTATTTTATGAATGATATTTAAAACTGCTTTAAAAGTTGTTAGTGTGAGAAAGAGCAGCAAATCATCTTAAAGAGTTAATGAATTCCATTTTAATCCAGTTAATGATATACAAAAATACTTAGTTAAACTGTGCTTAAAATTTAGGCTTGCTGAAGTATAACTTTTAAAGTTTCACCAAGTTTTGTTTTAAATGTAAAATCCTTCCCTACTGAGTTTTCAGTCTCCTAGTATGCAGGCTAAAATATCAGATTCTAAATGCAATGCAGGAGTATCTATAAATGGCCTACAAGTTAGCTAGCATTATCATATCTGTTTGGGGTTGGGGGAGTAGGGGGGGAGACCCTGAATACTTGATCCTGAATAACAAAGTTTCAATTGACCAGTTCACCAGTATGATAAATTCTTCACTTGATGTTGACCTCATATATAGGTTAACCATCTAATATTTTTCACACTTCCATCACACTAAAAGTTTCTTGTTACAGATTGTTTTTTGCCTTTATATTTTAGTGTAATTCAGCTGGGGGATGATTCTTTGTGGTGTTAAAACCAACATTTAGTTTTGCCATTTTATTTTGCTATTTTAGACTTCTGAAGATAAGTACACTAAGACAAATAGAGCTTTTTTCTTATGCAAACAAGAAAGTATTATTTATGTTGAATACATAATGTTTAACAATTGCATTCTTGCAGTGGAATTGGCAATGATTATGGACCGTTTATATGGAGGTGTCTGTTATGCGGGCATTGATACAGACCCAGAGTTGAAGTATCCAAAAGGTGCTGGCAGAGTGGCTTTCTCCAATCAGCAGAGTTATATTGCTGCTATCAGTGCTCGCTTTGTCCAGCTCCAACATAATGACATTGATAAACGGGTAAGTAAAATAGCACGGAACGGAGTGATAGCCACTGACAAAACTGTACAGAAATGAAAAGAAATGCTCATATTAATACTGTGTGAGAGGACACTGTAACCTCTGTTCTTCAGATGACATTTGTTAATTATTTAAAAGCTTATTTAAGTGACCAAAGCAGAGTGAAGATGATGGACCTTAAACATCTTAATTGTAAGGCATTAAAACCAGAAAAGTTGGTCGTAAGCTGTTGTTTGTTCTTGTTTTGAATTCTGAAGGTCCCGCACACTGGAGAATTTTGCAGCTTCCTTCTCCTCTTCTAGATGTTTGGTCACTGCGCATCAACAGCTTGTAGTTAGTGGCTGCTGTACAGCTTGGGGCATCTATGTTATTATTAGGCAACATTCTCCCTCTGCAATACGTGTCTAGACTGAGGTTCCTAAATCATGGGGTCATCATTATAATAGGGAGTGCTGATCTTGAAAGTCTTGAAGATTATTTAACTAAGAACAGGTGCTGGCAGATGTTTTGGCTTCACAGGCCAAAGAGGGGAAGAACAAGTTGTTTTTCAGTCCATATATAAAATCTTGGGTTCTAAACGGCTTTCCCAAGCACAAAGTGAAACTAATGTATTTCATGAAATCTAAATTGAAGACATTAAAAAGCAAGAATTATTTTCCAAGAGATTTTTTTTTTCTTTGAACTGACTTTGCCTCTAATTGCATGTGCAAATAACACCTTTGTTCTTGAGAACTCAGCATCTAGAACTACTTAAAAGAACACAGTGTGCACTGCCGTTATATTTTATTAAAATAAGGACGGCTGCTTTTCTGTTTAATCTGATATAGATTATTTATTGAAGAGGCAACTTGACAGGTGTTGGGAATGCCTGGGCAGTGTGTATGGATTTAAAAACACACACCTGCAGAGTCTAAGCTCTTAATCACTTTCTTGTTAAAAGTGTGAACTGAACTTTTTCTCAAATTAGATGAGGTTATGGAGTTAGCCCTCAAACTATTTTTCTGTGGTGCTACTATACCTTATGATTTAACTAAAACAAGGCTGTTCCTAAATATTCCTTGTCCAAGGAATTCTGAAAATCTTTACTGAGAGATTGTTCTGGTAAGAATAGCAAGACTAATTTTGGATTTTTAATCAGACGGCTGAGCCCTTTGAGATTTACATAATATCCTCCATGATTAAAACCTTGTTTTCTTTTAAGCGTTAAAATATACTACCAAATTAGGCTAGCTGTTAGTTGTTTCCAGTACTTTTCCCAGATGGCTGACTGAGGATCTAAGCTTACTTGATCATCTTTTGTCTGTTTTCAAGGTGTTTAAAGTAGTTTTATCTGTGAGTTTGAAGTGCAAATTCTCCTAATTCTGTCCTTAAACGTTAATTTTTAAACCTAATGGTGATTATTAAAATTCCTGAATTGTACAGCATATGTTCTTAAAATTATTTTCACTAGTAATGCAAACAGGAAAAGGGGAGAGAGAGAATCTATTCCAAACCTTCACAAATCATGCTTTGGAAATGTGAGTAGGCAGGTACTTGGGATGTGCTGGACTTTGGATCTGTTTTCTTCCAATTTCATTGGAGATGGTGCTATTTTATTTTGCATGAAGCTTCTAAATTTAGTGGTAGCATATCTGATATGCAGAATGGCAGTTATTCGGACTTTGTTCCACATAATGCTAGTAGCACAGTGTATTTTAAAATATATGTATTTTTAATTTTAGCAGTTCCAGCAGTTCCATAGCCAAGAAATATAATTCATTATATCAGCTTTACTTCAAAGGAGTAACGTTTGTTAAAATGTGATCAGGATAAGCTGGAGTAAAAGGCACCATAAAGTTTTCTTGTATGATACCTTTACTGTTTTTCAACTTAGTATTTCATACTGTGCTTCCTTAATACTGTATGTATTTAAGCTAGTTGCTGGAGTAGTTTTCCAGGCATTATACAGATTTTGCAGAGATTAACACTTGTGCAGTTACAGCAAAATTATTCACAGTAACAATATGTACATTTCAGCTTTTTTAGCTGTACCTAGGGCACTGTATAGGTGACATCACAGAGACCTAAGAATGATACATGCATAAGCTATTGATTTCTCCATGAGTGAATAAATAAGCTCCTCTCCAGGCTATTTGTACTTGATGGCAACCCCCTCGCTGCTTATGGAACATCTTATTCCACTTCTAGAGCTACAAGATTTTAGATAATGTTTTTTGCCAACATAATGCAGAGTATTTAATACAAACTGCATTTAACCTTGTTTAATTTGAGTCGTCTATTCAACCATTAGTCTTGTCGTGCATACTGCAGTTCACAAAAAACAAAACAAAAAGAAGCTCTCAGACTGATGAGACCTCTGAAATTTAAAAATACAGGTTTGTTCTTTATCAATCGATCCATTTCCCTTCCTACATGCTGCTCCCTCTCCCCCCTCTGCCATAACAACCATGTTCACAGTTCTGGTAGTTACTCTGAGAGCAGCAAAATTCCTGGAGATGCTGTTTTTATAGTACTTCCATCTTAGTTCTTTCACACGCCTAACTTTCCAAGAAATGCTGGCTAGTTATCAAAGCGCACCTTTTAACTACCACCCCTTTGGATTACTCCAGCATCAGATGCAAACCTTCAATGCACTGTCCACAAAGACTTACAGTACTCTTCCTTCTGCTCACGCTTAGCAAATGTATGTAATCGTCTTACAGTTTCTCTCTTCTTCCTGGTGCAGGTGGAAGTGAAGCCATATGTGCTGGATGATCAGATGTGTGATGAATGCCAGGGCACTCGCTGTGGTGGAAAATTTGCTCCGTTCTTTTGTGCCAATGTTACCTGTTTGCAGTATTACTGTGAATACTGCTGGGCAAGCATACACTCTCGTGCTGGGCGAGAGTTCCACAAACCACTGGTAAAGGAGGGAGGCGACCGGCCCCGCCACGTCCCGTTCCGCTGGAGCTGAACCCCAGGCCTAACCCAGCAGCACGTACTGGAGTAGATAAAATCGAGGGAAAAGAGAGCGCTGCCTCAGGGCTTAGTGTTCTGGAAATCTGTGCATTCGTCCTCGACTTTAATGAAGATATGGGTCTTTTTATTACTATTATTATTATTTACAGTCACATTACTGAACTCAGTGTCCAGTATAATACAAACCGGCAGAGTGTAACTGTACTGATTTTGCACTTTGATTCACACAAACATCTGCTTGGTACCTTAATTTCCTACACAAGACTTGTCACTAGTGACATTATGTAGACTGCCATTCTCATCAGCCTTCACTGGGTTGATGTGTATGTGATGAAGACTTTTTATTATAATTATTTTTATTTTTAAACTGGAGCATGCACTTATTTTCAGAAATTTAGACTTGCCCCTAGCAGATGACTTACCAAAGGTAATATTCACAAGTAGGTGGCAGATGTAGCAAAAACTTACTTAAACAGATATTCAGCAATCATTAGTTTGGGTCATTTAGAGTAGTAATAACCCTTAAAGAAAATAAGCCTTTAGTTGCTCTCCATTTTGACTTGTAAGGATGATACCTCATAAGCTGGATCAGACTTTTTTCTTTTGTTTTGCTGAGGGTTTTTTTTTTGTTAGGTCTTTTAGTGTTATGTAAATGTATGCTGCAATAGCTTTTGCTGCTATTAAAATGGTATTACTAATACCATAATACTCTATTCAGGCTAGGGTATCAATTAAAAAATGAATATGTGATTAAAATAGTGATGGCTGCTGAAAGGAGATCAGTATAGCATACAGAAAAGCTTCCAAGGAAGGTCAATATTTTGACTGCATGTTTACTTAATCAGGTTGCTGCATGCAATAAATTTTATATATGTCTAATATAAAACCTGCCCACAATGCACAAATTATGAATCTAAGTAGGCTAAAAAACATTCAGTAACAAAAAAAATTGATTACTGACTGGAGGAAGGCATGCCTCAGTAAATGTAATGCTTCTGAAATTAGGATCAGCCCATTACAGAATGACCTATATTACAACAAATATAAAAAATAGCTGTAGGATATTCTTAAAACAAATTTGTGGATGGTAGATGAAGTACTTTGCGGTGCTCTGTTATATATCGTGCAATTTATTTTATATAGTAAAGTGATTATGTCTAGTACTGTGATCAAACTTAACTGTTAAAGCCTCTGTATCCAACATTAACACATTTTTGACAGTTCATAACAGGTACATAAACAGAAATGAGCTCTTAGTTACAATCTCTCTCCTAATGCTTGCATCATTTATGTAGCTGCAGACCTTGTCCAGAAAAACCAAAGAGCTCATACTAGCGTACATACACTACCAATTAGATAGTCTGTCAAACTAAGAAACTAGGCACATTTTAAGAAAGTTAGGAAAAAAGGGGTGCTAAAGAAATGTCTGCATATAAAAGTTAACATGAGATGTCTGCTCTGTGGATGTGGCGTTATCTCTCTAATCCCTGGATGTATCCTGTGAAGCTTGAATACAATTAAGACCTGCTAACAGTGGACATTTTTTTAGCATGGACTATGGGGCTGCAGATAGCTTATAATTATAAACACACTTGGTATACTAATGATTGTGAGAATGTGTACACTATTTTTTTTTTTTTCCTTTTTCCTCCTTTGATTTTTGCAGTTCTGGGGACAATCTGACTGGATATGACACCGCATAGTAGATTTAAATGTCTGGGTTTTATTTGTTGTGATGTCCTTGTTTGTGTCTAATTTAGTAAGCTGTTTTTTTTTTTCCCAATGTTTAGTTGCAAGTATTGGCTTTGAAAGGAACTTTTCTGTTTTTGGAAAAAAAAAAAAGAAGAAAAATAGTTTTCTACTGGTTTAAAACGCTTATTATAATTATCCCTTTCAAGGTTACTTCTGGGCATTTTTGTGATATTGCTTTTCCCAGCCCAGGTGTCTTTTATGTTTTTTTCATCTGTACAAGACATTTTGTTATGCACTACTTTTTGTATCTAGACAGTTTTCAACAGTCGGCTGATGATTTTTTTTAAAGAAAAAGGCATGCTTTCTGACTGACATGATCTTTTGCAATACCTCAATTTTGAAATATAGGAAAGAAAATGATATTTTCTAAGTAAGTTTATTCAGAAAAATATATATTAATTTAATTCTGCAAGAAAAATGATTTAACAGATGGGTAACTTTATTTTTTTCATGCTTATTTGAGTTTTTTTGAAAATGAAGAAGTTAGAGCTTTATAACTGTAATATTAAAGATCATAGCTAACCTACAGAAATCTACCTAATTATGTGAAAGAAGTAAACCTTTTTGAAGAAAACCCCCTCTTTCATGTAGAAAAATACCCCCAGAGAGAAAGAGAGAGAGAGAGAGAGAGAGAGGAAAAAGAGAGCGAGAGAGAGAGAGAGAAGCTGGAAAATGTACAATATAGCATAATGTTGGATTAAAACAAAAACAAAGTTATCATAAAGAACAGTTGTAAACATAAACTCCATTTGGTGCTGAAAGTTGTGAATAGAAGGTGAAAAATATTTTCCCTTAATTTGTATATTTATAATCAGTGTGATTATGCACGACTGACCAGAATTGTGAGAGTTCTTCTGTTTGTATTTTTTTAAAGAGAACTTTTTTTAGTTTATTAAATTATAACATGCTCCCTTTTGTTTTGTAAATGAATGTGCCCCTGAGTTGTTAATATGTTATATTAAAAGAGGGTCCTTCAAAAAAAGTTATTTTTTAAAATATGGAGTTCTGAACTGCAACTTGACTTAAGAAGCCCCTGGGTACAACAGGTCCTATTGTGGCCTTTTCTGATGTGAGACTTGAACTAGTCGATTTTTTTGAAGGCTAACCTAACCTCGACTATTTGTTGTTATGTGCAATACTGTTTGTACTGTTTGTATAAAAAAAAGAAAAATGAAAAGAAAAAAGGCATAAATCTTTATTGCAGATTTATTTTCATTGCAGACTTTAGACATTGTGATTCACTAAAATCATTTTTCTACTGTCAAATATGTACCTTTTCTTCATGCTGGTATTTTTTCAATAGTAATGTAGCCTTTGTACTGAGACAAATTTTCATTGTTATTTTTAGAAAGATTTTTTGCTAAGAAAAAAATTAAACATATTTACATATTTTTCATTTTTATTTCGTATTTTCTTTAAGGAGTGCTTTCTCAACCATTAATATAGTTGTTTCTGGGAGAGACTTTCATATCTGGTCAATGTCATTAATATTATTTTGTATTTTTACTTGGAATAAATTAATTTTATGATGCTAATTCTTTAAAAGTTTATTTTTTTCATTTTCAGTTATTTTTGAAGCTAAAATCTTTGTAATATTGTTACTAAAGTGTCTAGTTTTTTGAAATGCAAAGCTTTATGTATTAACTTGCTGATGTGGTTTACAATAGTGTGGCAATGATGAAAATGGTTGGTTATGTAAAGTGATTGGAAAATTGTAACAAAGAATTGGGCAATAAAATGACAGAATGAAGCAGAAAAAAATGTGATATTTTGAAAAGCCTTTTCCTTTATCAAAATGATTTAGGGAGATAATAGGGATGTCACAGTACCAGTTCGCTGTCTAGATTTATACACCACCAGTGTTGATTAAATACTATTGCCTTTATAATGAACTAAATCTATTGAAACAATGGGTTTATGACCCTGCCCATTCAGCATAATGCTCCATTACTTTTCTTGTCATGAACTTATATAAACTCTCTTTTCAGTAGTCTTAGATAGAACTTCCTAAAATTATATATTCTTCATTGTATTTTGCCACCATGTTATTTATTTAATTAAATTGACCCTTTCCTGCACAACTTCCTTCTTGCATACGTTTTTCAGTGGCGGCATGGAGCAGACTATAGGTTCCCACATCATTTTCTAATGAAGTTACCACATAGGCTGGTAGCTGCCTAGTTAACACAAAGTAACGTACGTCCGTTTTCTGGTAGCAATGCAGTTACCCATATTGCCACCGTGTCTGAACATTTGTTCAGCTTCTTTGTCTTTCTCTGTTCTTCTCTGCCTCTCTTGTGTCTTTGTCTTTTTTTTTTTTTTTCCTTTTCTATTGGCAATATCAGCTGCCAGTATCAAAACATCTTTCACGTCACCTCACCTCCACTTACGTCAACTTTGTTTCCCCATGCAGCCAGAAGAACCCCCTTCCTGAAGCCAGGAAGGCTTCTCTGCTCTGGCACCTAAAACAATCCAGACTAAAACTGGTGTTGCGTAAACAGGGCATACAATGACTTTCTCTAGATAAAAGTTATTTCGGCAAGTTATTGATGACCTTTTAGACGAGCTTATGCTAGAGCATTAGGGTGGCTCATCTATAACTTGTTGAAAGAAATGTGTCCAGAGTTGGCCTATTGTGTATCCTCTGTGTGTTCAGTTCTGTAAGTAATGTATAGACTAGATCAAATAGTGAAGTAAAATTTAGACTCAAATTAGGTACTACTGGTTGGAATGTACACAAATTGCAAACAAAGGAGATGATTAAGGAATGAAGAGGGAATAAAAAATTCCTGCTAAGTGGTACAAAGTTTATGCTTATATTTCTGCCTACATGCTTGTATTTTATAGCCTGCTAGCAAGGCATGGGCTAAAACAAATTGTATTGCAAATACGCAGTTAGCAAATAACTTTGCTGATTTCACTATCTGTTAGAGTAGTTTAAAAAAAAAGAAAAAAGAAAAAAAAAGTAAAAATGGCGCTTAACTGGGAAAAGCTCCCATGTTAATATTTCAGTATTGTGACATCTCTACTTGCAAGGTATGAGTGAAAGATTAGTCACAGATTTGTAGAAATGTCTCTTTTGTTTAATCTGGCTTGTATGTAGTTGCTTTTTATGCTGGTTTGTATGATGTCAGCTAACTCCCTTTTTTCTTTTCCTTTCCTTCCTTTTCTTTTTTTCTAAACCAGACAAACTTTCTTCTCAATCTCTGCTGCTATAGTGTTCTATCATACCACTGAGAATTTTATATTCATGTTAGTGACTACTCTATACCCCAAATGGGTAACTAACTGGTCAGAAAATTACATTGGTCACACAATTCTGGCATGCTCAAATTTACATGAGAAAAAGAAGTTTAGCAGTAAGTAGAAAACCAGGGTGCTAATAAGAGGTGATTTCGGCTTTTTTTTTTCCTGGATGTAGTTCTGTTGGGGTATAAAGTATTAGATATTTGTAATTTTACTGTCAAAATAATGGACATAACTTTTAGAGCATTCACAGCTAAGATCTCTGTACTTGTTTTCCAACTAATTTTAAATGTACTGTATCTTTTATTACATGTTCTCTTAGATTGTTTTTGCTAGTAATTCTAACAAAGCTTCTTCCTTTTTGGCTTGGACTAATGCTTGTATGGAACTGCAGTACTGTGACTAAACATGGAGCTCAATGCTGCTATTGCTTACAACTGCTTAAACTTTGTAGTTTGGACTTTATTTTTTTTCTGTAATAACTTATTAAATATAGTTGTATGAAGTACTGATATTTGTCATCCTTTGCACATGCTAAGGAAATCTTGGGACGTGCATTATGGGGAATGTAAACTAGCTGAAAAAAAAAAAAAACAAACCCTCCAAATCTTGTACTGGAAAACTGCACTAGTTAAGCAAATATACACCTACTCACATGCACCCAAACTATCTTTTCTAGTTATTTTAAAATATAAGTAAAGAGAGCACATGAGTGGACCATGCAAAGTGAAAAGGTCACTCTTAGTTTCTTAAATGTAAGCTGAAGGTAAATACAAAAATATATACTAAGAAAATATTTCTGAGAATGCAGGTTCTCCCCACCAAATACAGTAGCAAGTGCCTTGTCAAAAGGAACTTTGAATTGCTTTGGATTTGCCAAAATTGCTGGCTGATTTATACTGCACTTTTTGTTGGCAGTTTTACAATGACTGTAGGCTTAGAGATTGGACTATCGGTTAAAAAAAACCAAACACTCCAACATCAGTTTCTAATGGTTTCTATTTTAAGACTAGGAGACAGTTAAAGCTCAGTGAAATAGCTGTTTGGAACAACGCAGAACACTTCCTTGAAAAACCGTGAATTCTGCCGTGTCAGAGGCAAGTGAAGAACACCAGAATTGTTCTGTGCTATGCCACTGCTTTCTTTCAGTAGCTACATAAAAACAGCTCAACAACCCAGCTGGAACTGCCAGCACTAAAAATTACAGGCCGAGTTCACTGTATGAATTTTACTTAAATGGGAACTGCCTAGGATTACATTAGGAATTAAATGCCCTTTGGAAAGCGTCTGAGAAGCTGGTGAGGTTGTGCGCGCCAACTAACTATTGTGCATGCTCCCTTACTGTATGGAGCCTCGTGGCTTGTGTTAATGCTGTTTTAGTCTAACCTAGCTGTATGTAATAGCTCATACACAAGAAAGGACAAAGCTCGCTCTTAGATGCCAGAAAATAGACAGAATGCTCAGACATGACCTTGTTTGAAACAAGTAGTAAATAACCCTGACTCAGGAGAATGGTCTACCTGACTGTTCTTTCTGGAATACCAGGAGAAGTGGTTTTAGGAGACAGAGTGATCTGTAATAGGAATTCTAATAGTAAATAAATGTATGAGAACTTTTAGGCTTCTGGGTCCTACAGCGTTAAATTTGCGAAGGGAGTTCTAAGTGTCTTCCAATTAACGACTGTTAACCTGCTTGCTGTACCCTCTAACCCTACAATATTCCTGCATAAGCCGTGCATTCTGAGTCCATCTGGACACAACCTGGGTTTACCCCAGTCCTCTATTGCAGAGGACAATTCTGGGAGGAAGCAAGCCTTTCTGCAGCTTCTAATCCCCAACTCACTCCTGCATTACTGCAGGAGATGAAGTAAACCATACCACCCGTAAGGTACCACCAGTATTGACAACTGCCCCTCAGCTGCTGGTAGCAGTTGACTCAGGCACTGATTTAATTTAAACTAACGCACTTTAATTAGTACAAAAGGCTGCATGACCCCTTCTGGTTTGTGTTATTCTTGCGAGGCTTAAACTGACCCAAAATAAATACCTATATGACTACTGCAGCTTGTGTATTAAACCTGTTTAGGCAAACTTCTAAGCTAAATCACTAAAAGTTTTCATAGGCAAGCCCAAGCAACATGTCGCCCTTCGTACACACCTGCGGAAAGGCCAA